AAGGTAGCTTGTCATTGGACTCTTCTTCTAGTGTAAACTGGATCGCCGGTTCAACTGCGTTGAGCCTTGCCTGAAGATTCCGTACATCAAAACGTTTGGGAGTTATTACGAGGACGTCGTCCACTTAACGTAACCAAGTGACGCTTGAAGGGAACAGGCAGTGCTCCACACAAACTAGCCGGAGTTCTTACCAAACATCTTTCCTGCCTTCTGGGGACCACCAGCCCCGCTCATCTTAAACACTCAGGCGACCTTCTCAACCGCATCCGAAACCTCTCCATCCGTAACAAGAAACTAAGCAGTTTGGACGTGACTTCCCTCTTCACAAAAGCACCTACCACAAAAGCCATCGAGGTTCTACGACGTAAAGTCAATCAGGACTTAATCTTCTTCTACCTCCCGGAGATTTTGTTGACTTGATTGAACTCTGTGTTAATTTCAACTGTTTTTCTTTCAATAACAGGCTCTACAAACAAACCTACGGCATGGGAATGGGGTCCCCCATCAGTGCCGTCCTAGTCAACTTATACATGGAACACCTAGAGTCCGAACACTTCGCCAACATCATCCCTTCGAGCGTCACTTGGTTACGTTAAGTGGACGACGTCCTCGTAATAACTCCCAAACGTTTTGATGTACTGAATCTGATGTAAGGACTTGCCTAGTATGGGCCAACAGGCCTGCTGCAGTGTTCCTCCATTCTTACGCTCTCTTATAATCTTCAGGCAAGGCTCAACGCAGCTGAACCGGCGATCCAGTTTACACTACTAGAAGAAGAGTCCAATGACAAGCTACCTTTCCTCGACGTCCTCATTCACAAAGTAGACAACAACCTAAAATTTCAAGTTTATCGGAAATCTACCAATAAAAATGATCTCACACACTTCTATTCCAGTCAAGATACCAAGACCAAAAGAGGCATCATCATCGGGTTTTTCCTAAGAGCATACCGAATTTGTAGTCCTGAGTTTCTTGACGAGGAATGTACATACATTCACCAAACATTCACTGAGTTACATTTTCCTTCCTTTTTCATCAAAGACTGCAAGAAAAGAGCTCTTCAGATCATTAATTCTCCACGCACCAACACAACTCCCAACAAAGTTATAATTCTTCCCAACAGCCAGGTTGCACTGAGCGTTTCTAAAGTACTTTCGCAAGCTAACACCAGAGTCGCCATCGCTTCCAGCACTTCAATAAAGAATCTAACCAGGGCAAAATCAAAGCACCATGAACCAGTCAACGCAGGAGTTTACACTATACCCTGTGGAGGCTGTGACAAGATTTACGTAGGTGAAACAGCAAGAAACCTCGACACCCGCCTCAATGAACACATTTACGCATGTAGGAACGATAACTTGAACAACGCTGTGTACAACACCAAAATTCCACCAATCATCTCATGAAATTCAGAGACGCCCAATTAGTGATCAAAGAAACTAATTTCCGCAGAAGCAAGTGCTTCGAATCAGCACTGATCGCTGTTTCGAATACAATTAAACAAAACAACGGCAGCTCCACCATCTCTGAAGTCTTAGCAAGAATCCTCCTGAAAACAATAAACCCTGCCATCACATAGTCTCTCCTGTTATACTACACAAAGCACATTACAGAGAGTGAACACTGAAACAAGCTGCCTCTATCCAGTCTATATTTGTCCAACCTATTTTTATGTTACCCAAGTAATAGCTTTTATATCCTTTTACTCACGTACGAATTAATTGCTCTACCATATTGTATTACTACTACTACTACAACTTTTGTCACTACTACTACTACTACTACTACTACTACCAAGAGTATTGCACCTCACTCTGAGCCTATATATACCCTCTGTGTCCACGTACTGTTTGTAATGGCTTGATAAAGCTCCTGGAGAGCGAAACGTTGCCACAATAAAATGTCACATTAGTTGCACTTGTGTCCTTTTACTTTACATTATTTCTCTTGTTCATTTCTTCAGAGGAAGCATTTATGGAGAAGAATCCATCCAATAAACCAAATCCAGCACAATCCCAATGTATATACTATTTAAAAACTTCTAGTTTAGAAGTGGGTGATTTTTGCCTCCAACTGAAGAGGAAATGCGCCAGAAAAAAGTTGGAGCCTCTTCCGTAGATTTGGCTTAGACTCAGATGATTCTTCATTTTGGACCATTTCACACTATGTTTCTTCATTCTCAGATTCGCTTGCAGCAAAAATCGTGATATCTTGAAGCACTTTTTTTTTTTTTATCTTTTGACGGAAGACAAATCGGCTTGAAACAAACTGCTGCCGATCTTCAAAAACGGAATAAGTCATCGTTACTTTGCTTCATGCACGTCTTTGGCCAAAGTTTTACAGTGAGACAGATTAGTATCTAGTAGTTGCTGGGTGGACTGATGTAATCCAGTGATTACGAGTTCATTTGTTGAGATGGTGGCCATTTTTCCTGATTTAGAAAAACACTTAAGCAAACACTAGGCCATATTTATTGGGAAACGTTTCGGTCCTGAGAATTTATTTTTTATTATTAAAGATTCGCCGGTTTTCTCCCGGGCCGGGGGCCTTTTCCAAGTGGTGGCCCGGCCTTGGCTCCCTCTTTAGGGAGTTTTGAGACCTAAGTCTCCCAGGGGAGGAGGCACAATCCCTCCTCATCTTTTTGGGGAAAAGTCCCCAGGCCTAGCCAAAAGCTGGGCCCTCTGGCGCCTCCCTCCCCAAGGGCTAAGGGGAATGAATCTTAGAGCTAAAGGCTGGGCTCAGGCCCTACCCTCCCCTGAAGGGTTGGGCATGGTTCGATCCGGCCTAGCCCCTTAAATCACTTCTAACAACAAAACAGTAAAGGGGGACTCACAGGTAAGGACCCACAGGGGGGGGGGGGCAAGTGGGGACTTTGCAAAGAATAACGGGGAAGGGATGTATTTGATTTTTAACAAACAGAGGTTAAAAGACAGTAGGGGTATAGAGGTGAGTGAGGGTATGAGCAATGACCTGAAGAATTCTTTTGGGATGGGGAAACGGGTCGATGAGATCATTGACTCCTGTGTTTTTTGCCTAGTTGAGTATCTCATCTTTATTTTACAGAAATTTTGTATTTCCGGTTAATTTTTATTTGTGTCGGTGATGGTGATTAGCGCCCCTTTTCCCGACAATTTTGGCGTTAAGGTCTTGTCCGGGAAAACGAGTTGGCTTCATCATGGTGACCTGGCATTCTTGGGCACCAGCGTTGCTCACACCCCACTGTTTTTTCCTCTGTATGTTTCAACTGATCAAGGTTCCAGGAATGAATCTTTTTTAATAGATATGCCTGTGTTTGCTTACGTGTCGGTACGGGCGGGATTTACACAAGGTTTTTTCCATACAAAAATAGATAATGCGCAAATGCAACATGCGTACATATGTATATAAATACATAAGTTAATATTTTGCTGCATTAGAATTTTATAGCCTATTCCTTTGCTTGATTTAGGTAGAGGAACTGAGATTAGGAATTGGGATACTTTTTAAGATCCTCAGCAACTGAACGACATATAGTTTTTGTCTTTAAAAATTTTAAACAATGCTTTATTTTCAGTAATCGATATAAAATTTTAAAAATTTCGGTAATATGTTTTGGTGTTAAAAGAAAATAAGATAACAGTAATGTGTGCCCAAAAATAAACCTTGGTTGAGATAACTGAAAGGAGTGATGAAAATATTAGGGCCCGGTCCAGCTAGGCACTCACTCTCCCCGCCAGGCCCCCCAGGCACTGACACTTCCCCGTAAGCCAGGACACCCAGCCAGGCACTGACACACTCCCGTGATCACCACCCTCACACACCCCTCCCTTCCCACTGCTGGTATTATCACATCTACTTTTTACATCATAAAGTACCGGATGGCACCCCCAAGGGCGCACTGTTAGCCTTCATACTGGACAAGAGAGCCAAAACATTGGCTTGGTTTCATTTTGGGGGAGTAATTAAATTGTAAAGTGAACTAACATAACCAGCACAGCTGCCACTGCTCACAAATTACCACAAAATATCACAAAAAAAGACAATATACCATAAACATACTAGTAAACTACACCATACTGCCACTTATTAACAACTCAACCATTATGTAAAATATATCGTTGCATTATGAGCAAAAATATCTCGTAATTAATGTTTCAATCTCAAGGTAACTACACACACAGGGTATGCAGTGACGTCACACTGCCCATCAACATACCCACAACTACGCAGATATTTCTTTCCAGTCAATTTTTATTCAGGCAATAAGTACATTTTTTTTTTTATAACAATCCTTATGGCACACGGATGTTATGGACACATAAAATGTACATTATGTAGATTTAACATAGAAGAACTCGATAAAATAAAAAAAAAATGTGCCTTATTTCCATTGGAGTCCCTTGTCAAAATTTTATTTCTCCAAAAAATTGATATATGTGAATTACAGCGTTCTTTCAGCCCCCAGATTAAATATTTTTGTACATTCTCAGCCCCTCACCAAGGTGCCTTGATCCAAGGAAATGGACCTATCTTCTCTTTACTTGGATCGAACCAGATTTCTTCCTATTACGCTGGAGCTTTATGCCCCCTGTGAGCTTAGCGCTCCCAGTGAATGTCACAATAATAATAATAATAATAATAATAATAATAATAATAATAATAATAATAATAATAATAATAATAATAGCAACATCAATGATAATAATAATAATAATAATAATAATAATAATAATAATAATAATAATAATAATAATTATGAAAATTTATAAGGGGTTACTTGTACGAACCTCAACATTACATTCATACAAGTAATCTCAGTGGGGGCGACAACCATTTACTGTTTACAGTTGTGGAAATTTGTCTGGACTGCCTCCGTGAGAGTTGTCTACCCTAGCAAGTTGTTGACACCGAGCTCTGAGGTTGGTACCTCAGCCTCACGAGTGGCTTATATGACACATTTCCATAAATAACTGATGTTGCAAGAAAATCCGCCTTCATGCACGAATAGAGGACTAACTTACTTGGTGTTGGAGAATATATCACCCGGTCTTCAACCTCCCTAAGCCTTAGCCCCTCTGGATTTTCCCCTTCAAGTCACCACGTGCAGCCGGGAACCAAATTCCTGCAATATTCAGTCGGTATTATTGACCTGCCTTCACCTCAGAAGTTCCTGATTCCAAGGGGGTGTGTATCCCCTAGTATAACTATGCAGGAAGTGACACTAGCTTCTAAGCTTAAACAAAGAGGGGACTCTGGTACATACTGGTCTTCGGGCGTCCGACTGCACAAAGACCCACGGCACTTGTTGTTACGTTGGTGTCTTGTCTTAGGAGGCACTCGCGTCTCAAAATCCTGTGCCACGTCGTTCAAGCTTGGGCTACCAGTTCTCCCTCGCTAATATAACCTAGTGTTTGCCTACATTAAAGGCCTATTCCTACCTGCGCTAAGGTCTTAGGTTTACATTATTAATACCTACAGTTGCCTCAATAATCCTAATATTAGTTTACTAACAGCATCAACTACCTACATTTTCTTTGAAGGGTAAATCTATCAATTAAGATGTACTTTCCAACCACCTTCGCCAACCTGGGTGTGTGTATGTGTTTTGGGTGGATGTGAGGGCCCGCAAAACTCAGACGGTCTATCCATGAAATGTTAGGGCCTTCATATGGCTTATTTACCTTGTGGAACTTAGGACCGAATAAGTTCCAATAACAGTAGTCACCCCGTGCAGACGTGTGAGAAAACCTGGTCGCTGCAAGTGGTCCCTTCGACTTCACAAATCTTACCCATATCTATCCTAGACCAGTATAGAAGTGGATAGCACCCACAAGTACGGTGCTACTAATTAGTTGTGAACTGTATGGATTATATTTGACTGAAGGAAAAGGTAGGGTGGGTTACACACACACATATTCGTCAGGGAATACACTTGTATAATACCAACACTTACCAAATTTTCTCTGGTGGTCACTGGAGGACGTTGTAGCACCCACAACACCTGTCCCATTATAACATACCTAACTGGCCAGTATCAGTCTGCTATAACCAGAAAGGGCACTTAACTGTGGGTGAGGAGGTCGCATTCCTTGTCTGTCTTGTTTCAGATCTCGATATCCTACCAGCTGAAACGAATCTTCTTCCAACAGGATTATGATATCGCTTGGTTTGTCCCGATTTAGAAGTCGTGACTCCGTAAAAACTCCATTATCCTTGGGACAGGAAACGCGAGGTTAACATGTGCTCACTCACTCGGGGAATGGCAGCTTCCATCACCTCAATCATTACTTAAACTTAATGTTAATATCGCTGATTTCACTACAATTCACAAGACGATTTAACGTCTCCTTAATTTTACACATGTTAGATATCGATCTATTAAGACCTAAGCTCGATGAGCGTTGATTGAGTAGTCGGGTATTTTTCCCCCCGAACACTCGTCATGTAATTGTGACCAGGTGTGGAAGTGTGAATTGCTCAGTACTCTATAATTTGTTCATGACTGTAGCCATGTATAAACGTAAGTAACCATTCTTGCAGGATTCATTACCTTTGTAACTTGTGAGTTCATTACTTTTGTACCTAGTTCAGCTATCAAAACTTTGGGGGCCCAGTCACTGGACCTATTACGTACCTCTGTAATCTGTAAATACATTTGTAACTTGTCATGATTGTGACCAGACCTACCTGGAGTTCATTACCTTTGTAAATTGTGACTTCATTACCTTTGCAAATTGTGAGTTCATCACCTTTGTAACTTGCTCAGCTATCAAAACTTTGAGGCCCAGTCCCTGGACCAATTATGTACCTCTGTAATCCTTTGACTACCGCCCACAGGATGGGTATGGGGTGCATAATAAAGATATTAAACTAAACTAACTAACACTTGTCATGGCGCATCCCGTCATACCTGGCATGGCATCCCTCACTACTTACTAATTTTATCACCTCGTTATAGTGGTCCTGCAAATTACGTTCCTTCACTTTTCACTAGGAACAGTTACAACCCTTCCTATTATGAATTGAGACCACTGATCACGTTTCAGCCGTCGGAACCATCAGTTTCCTGGCTCCATGTTAACTAGGCCTATTCCCCAACGACACTCCCGATGCCCGCCTAGGCCTCTCCTCTGCCCATCGGCGCAGGCACCGAGATTACCTGTTGGTTCTCTTCCATTTTTAAATACATTTTTAGACCAACAGCAACATGTTAAACACATTAGGCATTATAACTTCGGAAAATTAAATATATTCCACAATAATAATAATAATAATAATAATAATAATAATAATAATAATAATAATAATAATAATAATAATAATAATAATAATGTACATTCTTAGGAAAGCCAGTTGTTACACAAAGTGTCTCGGGTAAAGCAAAAGTTACGTAGGAAGTTTGAGATGTTGGATGTTAGTCCCAGACTGAGTGAGTCAGTACTTGTTGTTATAATAACAATATTTGTTGTTACAATAACAATATTTGTTGTTACAATAATAATATTTGTTGTTATAATAACAATATTTGTTGTTACAATAACAATACTTGATACAATAACAAACAATTTTGACCGTCACAGACCCACCCTCCCTTCTTTCAACTTAATCTAACTTTATCAAACGTTACTTAACAACCTAATATTACCAAATATAACCCAACCAGTGAACCATACCATACCTAGCTTAACTAAGCTATCCTGGCTCAGGCCTGGCTTGTTGGATACTTTTGGCTTGGTTAAAGGACTCCAATGGAAATAAGTCACTTTGTCTGACTTTCCTGGGTTATCCCAGGTTCACTACACATATGCTGCTATATATGATAATCTATGTAACTGTATTTGTGTATACATGAATAAACTTACAATTTTCCAACAAGTTGTAGCTTTAAAATGACTCTTCTGCAATAAAAGGATGTTCCATGGTGCTGGTGAAAGGTCCTTGATCCAAGAAACTGGACTTATCTTTTCCTTCCACGGATCAGTTAGAAATGCTTCCCATTCCACCTGGGATCTATATGACCCATTTATATGTTTAGTAGTTTCTTCTGATTAAAATAAAATAATTATGAACGGTATCAAACTTTTAGTTTAACATGTTTATTATGCACCCCATACCCATCCTGTGGGCGGTAGTCAAAAGATTACAGAGGTACATAATTGGTCCAGGGACTGGACTCCAAAGTTTTGATAGCTGAGCAAGTTACAAAGGTAATGAACTAGATCTGGTCATAATCATGACCAAGTTACAAAGGTAATGAGCTCCAGGTAGAGCTAGTCACACTCATGAATAATTGCAAAGGTAATGAATCAAACACATTAATCATGAGAATTTACAAAGGTAGTGAGCTCCAGGTAGAGCTGGTCACAATCATGACAAGTTTCAAAGGTAATGAATGATAAACACGTTATCACATGATTACAATCATAGACAAATTACATTATTATTATTATAATACAAAAGAAGCGCTAAGCCACAAGGACTATACAGAAGACAAATTACAGAGTAATGAGCAGTTAACAAACACAGTAGGGAATTCATCCAATGCCCCAACAACAGATGTTGCTAGATGCCTGTCTCTCCTCGGCAGACAGCCATTGCAAACAGCAGCAAGTTTCCCAGGGATCTGCTGCTTGCACGAGCACCATCGACCCTCCCCAAGAGGTCCAAGAAGCCAGTGACTCCGTTAGCAGCCCGATGGAGAGCTGCCCTAGGGACATGTCAGCGTCCTGGTGGACGCCAAGTTGATTGAAGATCCCAGGCCCTCGTGTGCACGGATGTTGAAGCTTGAGGAACTGAGTACACACTGCCGGTGGCACACCTGACAGCTGCCTCGCGGTCGAACTCCACGATGCTGTCCCTGTAGAAGTTCCTGTGAGCCCGGCACTCCCTACAGTGCCATCGCTGACATCGTGGGTTAGGGGAGAAGCACCCTCTATAGATGGGGTGGCGGCGGGAGATGGGCAGGGGTGAGGCGGGGGAGATGGGCAGGGGTGAGGCGGGGGAGACGGGCAGGGGTGAGGCGGGGGAGACGGGCAGGGGTGAGGCGGGGGAGACGGGCAGGGTTGAGGCGGGGGAGACGGGCAGGGGTGAGGCGGGGGAGCGGGCAAGGGGTGAGGCGGGGCAGACGGGCAGGGGTGAGGCGTTATGAGAGGGTCACTGTTTACTACACACGCCCTCTCCCTCCCCCCCCCAGCGGAGAGGGGGGGAGGCGCTGACTGGTCCTGACTCAACAACACCAAACCATCTAAAACTGCACAATACTTCAACTATTTACGCTGAAACGATGCACTGGGATGTCCGTTCGCTGCTCTGGTATCTTCTCAAAGCATTCACACTGAGTTCTGTTAAGTAGGGACCTGGTCAGCCTCTTTGACCAGGAGCTATCCTTGAAAATCCCGCAGCTAGCCCGCTACACAACCTGCCGCGTCGGCCACACTTTAATGGTTAATGTAAATTTTGAAATGGATAAAACAGTTTTTTGGATATTGGTTGTGTAGGTATAAATTTTGTTGAGTTCAATGTAATAACTGGAGAATATATCTTCAGCTCGACTTCAACTTTCAGTGATGATGTGTTTTCATCAAAGAAAACTTTTAGATTTTAAGTTGTGTAAGTTTTAATGTGTCAGTTTTATTAATGAAATTGATTTCAGTGAATTAATTTGAGAGCGTCTCTTCTGTTGAGAAATAAGTCAGCGTTAAAAAAAAGCCATGTACTACTGTACTTTTATGTACCATCGACATCCGTGTGCTACAAATCTAGTGTATAAAAAAGTAATGCTATATACCAGAGCTTAAATAAAACTTAACAGATAATTTCTGAGCGCTCATCGGATGACTTTATATCCTAACATCTCAGAAGCTTTCGATTTAAAACTGATGTATGATCAGATAGTGAACTGAGATAACCAGAGAATGTCTCTTCAGTTTAGTTTCAGAGCTGCCATTTATTAGTGGAACGATTGAATTAGAGCTGGGCTCTGTTCCCTATGATGATCTGTCAATGTCTCTTCTGATTCATTTCAATATTTAAGTGCATTATAACTTATACTGCAAAATGAATAGTTATGCAATATAGGGATACCTTTCCTAGATCGTACTATTACAAAAATATGTCTAATTTATTTACATAGTACAAGGAATCCAGAGATCAGGCGCTTGATATGTGACACCAATTCACAATATTTACCAGTCACAGCTTTAATTCTGTAATTATAGTTAGAAAATTAGTAAGATGGTGAATGCATGGGGTAAGCAATTGATAGTTTAAATGAGCATTGTGTAAATACCTTAAGGTTGTTGGCTCATAACATAGATAAATGTTTAATGTATTATTAATTCTATATGTGCAAATTTTCAGGCAAATGATGGATTCCGAGTGGTATTACGTGAGGCTCTTGAGTTTGGATATCGTCACATTGACACTGCAACCATGTACCAGAATGAACATATTATTGGTGAAGAACTGGAGAAGTTATTTAGCAGCGGAAAACTAAAGAGAGAAGATATCTTCGTTACTACTAAGGTGAGCATCAATGGTCACTGAAGACATGGTTAATACATTTTGTATAAACTCCTTACTGGTGACAATTTCTCCCCCATTGTCGGACTTTCCCTATTTGTCTTTTAAAATGGAAAAAAAAATATTTGGTAGATATATATTTATTCAGATAAATGCTAAATATATTAAGTAATTTAATAGAACTGGTTTCCTTTGTAGAATGTAGAATGTATTAACAAAAATGTGTATTTGGAAACATAAACACATAAGCAGTATAATGTGACCCCCCTATTGACAATGTTTCGCCCACACAGTGGGCTTTATCAAGTCACAAACTGATGTACCTGGGTGAAACAACGGCTTCTATAACATAACTGAACCCCTTGTCAAGAAACTTCATCATTATCCCACATAACTACACACAAATCTGCCAGTCCCGTCCAGGTCCTTATGAAATCCAACCTACCCAGCATTCTCCACCTGACACTGTCCTATAAATACTCACGTACCTTTCACCCAGGTAGATCTGTTTGTGACTTAATAAAGCCTGCTGTGTGAGTGAAACGTTGTCAATAAAGGATCACATTATACTGCTTATGTGTTTATTTTTCCATTGTGTCGGTATTTTATACCATTTATTTCCAAAAATGAGAATTTGCTTGTTGGTTGATTAATAGGATTTAGAGTCTATCGACTTTAAGGCTGCATGTTACCTGTCAAGAATACTTTAACCATTAAGTTGTTGGTCAGGTAGATCTATGTGAGTGGGTACAGTGTCCGTGCTGTAGATCTACAAGAGGATTGGTAGACTTAGGCATCAGATTAATTGATGTCAATATTTCCCGTGCATGGTAAACAAGTAAACTACATCACGGGGGAACAGCATGGTAGTCCACCGTGGCACACTTCCATTCTCTTATTTTCATTCTTTTTACCTCAAACCATGAGAAAAATCATTCAGGAAAGGAGTTCTGCGGATTCGAGATGTAGACGACCAAAAACTGACAGGGGAAAATGCCGAAAATAGTGGCCTCAGCATATCCTTTACACATCCTCAGAATAAACAATAATCTAACATTCTTTCGTAGTTTAGGTACTGATATGAGTTGTAATGATGACTTAATGACCAGTGACGATGATATATAGGTGATTGCGAGTATAAATATTTGCTGTGAAGTGTCCAGTCATAGTAAACCACACAAGCCAACACCAGATAGAGATATCCATTATTGTGGTGCGGCAGAAGCCATGGGTAGTTGTCCACGGACAGAAGCCATGGGTAGTTGTTCACGGACAGAAGCCATGGGTAGTTGTCCACGGACAGAAGCCATGGGTAGTTGTCCACGGACAGTAGCCATGGGTAGTCATCCACGGACAGTAGGCATGGGTAGTTGTCAACGGACATTGCTAGTAAGGAAATGGAGCGTATGTTGGTTAGTTTAATATGTTTATTATGCACC